CCCACAGCCCTCATCTTACGCTTCCAGAACCATATCCCATTTAAACTACAGCCCTCATCTAACCCTTCCTGAACCGAACACCATCTACCCCACAGCCCTCATCTTACCCTTAAAGAACCATGGCCCATCTACCCCACAGCCCCCATCTAGCCCTTCCTGAACCGAACACCATCTACCCCACAGCCTGATCTTACCCTTCCAGAACCGTACCCCATCTACCCCACAGCTCTAATCTTACCCTTCCAGAACCGAACACCATCTACCGCACAGCCCTCATCTTAGCTTAAAGAACCGTGCCCCACCTACCCCACAGGCCTCATCTAACCCTTCCTGAACCGTACCTATCCACCCCACAGCACTGATGCTACCCTTCCAGAACCTTACCCCAAATACCCCACAGCCTTCATCATAGCCTTCCAGAACCGTTCCCAATCTACCCCAGAGCCCTCATCTTACCCCATCTACCTCACACCCTCATCTTACCCTTCCAGAATGGTACCCCATCCACCGCACAGCCCTGGTCTTATCTTCCAGAAACATACCCTATGTACCCCACAGCACTCATCTTACCCTCCCAGAACCTTACCACAGCCCTCATCTTACCCTTACAGAAAGGAATCCCATCTACCCCAGGGCCCTCATCTTACCCTTCCAGAACCTGTCCCATGGACCCCACAGCCCTCATCTTACCCTTCCTGAACCGTACCCCATCTACCCACAGGCCTTATCTAACCCTTCCTGAACCGTACCTATCTACCCCACAGCCCTGACATTACCCTTCCAGAACTTTAACCCATCTACCCCACAGCCCTAATCTTACTCTTCCAGAGCCATATCCCACCTACCCTACAACCCTGATCTTACCCTTCTAGAACCTTACCTCATCTACCCCACCGCCCTCATCTTACCCTCCCAGAACCGTGCCCTATCTGCCCCACAGGCCTAATCTAACCCTTCCTGAACCTTACCTATCTACCCCACAGCCCTGATATTACCCTTCCAGAACCTTAACCGATCTAACCTGCTGCACCTCATCTTACCCTCCCAGAACCGTACCCCATCTACCCCACAGGCCTTATCTAACCCTTCCTGAACCATACCTATCAATCCCACAGCCCTGATAATTACCCTTCAAGAACCTTAATCCATCTACCCCACAGCCTTCATATGACCCTTCCAGAACAGTACCCCATCTACTCCACAGCCCTCATCTTACCCTTCAAGAACTGGACCCCATCTACCCACAGCCCTCATCTTACCCTTTTGGACCATACCTTATCTACCCCACAGCCCTGATGTTACCCTTCCAGAACCATACCCCATCTACCCACAGCAACCATCCGACACTTCCAGAACCTTAACCTATCTACCCTACAGCCCTCATCTTACCCTTCCAGAACCGTACCCCATCTACCCCATAACCCCGATCTTACCCTTCCAGAACCACACCCCATCTAACCCACAGGCTTTACCCTCCCAGAACTTTACCTCATCTATCCCACAGCCCTCATCTTACCCTTCCAGAACCATACCCCATCTATCCCACACCCTCATCTTGCCCTTCCAAAACAGTACTCCATCTACACCACAGCCCTCATCTTACCTTTACAGAACCATACCTCACCTACCTCACAGTATTCATCTTACACTTACAGAACCGAACACCATCAACCCCGCAGCCCTGATCTTACACTTCCAGGACCATACCCCATTTACCCCAAGGCCATCATCTAACCCTTCTGAAATCATACCTATCTACCCAAACGCCTGACCTTACCCTTCCAAAACCCTACCCCATCTACCCCACGGACTTCATCTTATTCTTCCAGAACCCTACCCCATCTACCCCACAGTGCTGATCTTACCTTTACAGAACCGTATACTGTCTACCCCACAGCCCTCATCTTACCTTTCCAGAACCTTACTCCAGCTACCTGAAGCCCACATCTTACCCTTCCAGAACTGTACTATATCTACCCCACAGCTCTTATCTTACCCTTAAAGAACCGAACACCATCTACCGCACAGCCCTCATCTTACCCTTAAAGAACAGTGCCCCATCTACCCGACAGCCCTCATCTAACCCTTCCTGAACTGTACCTATCCACCCCACAGCCCTGATATTACCCTTCCAGAACCGTACCCAATCTACTGCACAACACTGATCTTACCCTTCCAGAACCTTAACCCCATCTACCCCACAACTCTGATCTTACCCTTCCAGAACCTTACCCCTTCTACCTCACAGCCCTCATGTTACCCTTTCAGAACTGTACCCCATCTAACCCACAGGCCGCACCTTACCCTCCCAGAACTTTACCTCATTTACCCCACAGCCCTCATCTTACCCTTCCAGAACCTTACCACATCTACCCCACAGCCCTGATCTTACCGTTCCAGAACATTGCTCCAGCTACCTCACACCCACATCTTACCCTTTCAGAACCGAACCCCATCTACCCCACAGCCCTCATGTTACCCTTCCAGAACGGTACCCCATCTACCGCACAGCCCTGCTCTTACCCTTCCAGAACCGTACCCCATCTACCCCACAGCCCTGATCTTACTCTTCAAGAACCTTACCCCATCTGCCTCACACCCTCATCTTACCTTTCCAGAACAGTACCCCATCGACCGCACAGCCCTGCTGTTAAACTTCCAGAACCGTATCCCATCTACCACACAGCCCTCATCTTACCCTTCCAGAACCTTACCCCATGTACCCCCAGCCCTTATCTTACACTTTCAAACCTTACCCCATCTAACCCACTGCTTTCATCTTACCCTTTCAGAACCGTACCCCATCTACCCCACAGGTCTTTTCGAAGCCTTCATGAACCGTACCTATCTACCCTGCAGCCCTGATCTTACGCTTCCAGAACCTTACTCCATCTAACCCTTCCTGAACTGTACCTATCCACCCCACAGCCCTGATACTACCTTTCTAGAACCTTACCTTACAGCCCTGATCTTACCTTTCCAGAACCTTACCTCATCTACCCCACAGCCCTCATCTTACCCTTCTAGAACCGTACCCCATCTACCCCACAGCCCTCATCTTACCCTTCCAGACTATTTTGTTCACCAAACTCAAATCATTTAAATGGAACACAATTTGAGTCCTTTGAGGATATCAAAACTGCCATTTTGATGTGGTATAAAGCAAAATGCGCAGGATCTTTGGGAAAGGGTTAGAGAGATGGAAAGAGTACCTTTGGATGTGGACAGATCTAGGTGGAGGCATATCTAGAACTAATAACTTCCCATTTTGACATCTGTGTTTAATAAAGGTATCTATGATTGTGCAGCAATACTTGTTTACTTACCCTCCTATACGCCTATCTATTGAGATGCATATCTAAAAGTGAACATCCATGTTGCTGTTAATTCCTTTGATTGCTTTCAACTCAGTGATCCTTTACAGAGTTTTTTGAGGAGTGGCTGGTGGGTTTGAACTGCCGATCTTACCGTTAGCAGTCCAGTGGTTATCCTACAGCACTATACTTGTTAAGTGCTGTTGAGTTGGTTCTGACTCATAGTGTTCCAAGAAGTGGCTGGCGAGTTTGAACCACTGACCTTGTGGTCCAGTGCTTTATCCCACAATGCCACACCAGGGCTCCATGTATTTAATATATTGTTAAAGGAATCTGAACCTTTCCCCAGGTCACAGGAGACAGGGGATGTAGATGCCCTCCAGCCAGCATGCACAGGCTCTGTGTCAGCGAGGTGGGGATAGTCAGACTCATTGACAGACACGAAACAAATTGCTTCTGTCTCCTGCCTTAGTTTTCCCCAAAACAACACCTGTCTCTTCTGCCATTCATTTCTGGTATACAGGAGGTGAAGGCTCATCAGGAGGGATGGAGGGACGGTGGTGATAGAGGTCTTGATGCACAAGTGGGTATCAAGGCTTGCCCCAGCCCTGGCCAGGACCCTGGAAAGTGGCAGGAGAGTGTCCCCGCCCCCAGGCATTGCTGTCACCAGAGGTCATCTTTCCAGGAGGACAGGGTGGCAGGAGAGCCTGAGTTCACTCACCTGGCCTGCCCTTTCCCAGTGGAGGAACCTTGGGCTCTTAGTGCCTCTCAGTCTTGCCTGCTGTGAGCTGGGCCAACAGCAGTGCTGCTCCCACAGTTGTGAGGATGGAGTTAATGCAGATGGCATACTGAGAGCACGCCCAGAACATGGAAACCTGGGAATCCTACCCACCCTCCACTACCGCAGACCAGCCTGTCCACCAGATCTAGTGCTACCTTAGTTAGCCTGCCTGTTGCTGGGGTCTGCTTGAAACCCCAGTGGGCAGCTGAGGCCCAGACACCTCAGCCCTGGCCTGGTGAGCCAGCTGAAGTGCCTCATCCTCCTGGAGAGAGGCAGGAGCAAAAATTCCCTGGGGAGTTCCAGGAAGTGGCTCGCCAAGGGGCGTGGGAAGTGCGGGCTAGGCAGAGAGGAGGATACAGCCGCATGGCATCACTGGCGCCTCGTAGTCCATACTGGCAAGCTCCTGGCTCTTCTTTGTGTGGAGCCTGAGAAAAAAACACAAAACAGCACTGTGTTCTGACGGCTCAGAGCTTGCAGAAGTATGGGCCACAGGGACAGACAGACGAGGTCCCTGGCTCTGCCAGGCGTCATGTCACTGGGCTGTTGACCCTGGGCAGTGGGCAGTGTTGTATGCCCCAACTGTGGATGAGGAAACTGAGCAAGTAGAGGTGAAGTCACTTGCTCAAGGTCACACAGCCGGCAGCTGGCAAAGCAGGGATGTGAACAGAGGTTATTCAACTGCAGAACTGTCTGTCACCCAGCCCTGTCTCCACAAACCAGGCAGTCAGATGAAAGCAGGGTACCTGGCAGGGAAGGGAGTGGGTGGGTGGGGCGGACTACCTCATGATCACAAGGCAGCCACAGAAAGAGCAGGAACCCAGCATTCCAAGCAAGAGGGCAGCCAGAGCAAATGCCCTGAGGCAGGACGAGCTTGGCAGTCGTGGGTTTGCTCCAGAATGTAGCCAAGGGATGGAGTGGTGGTGGGGTGGGACAGGGATGGCAGGAGAGGACTGTCAGGGTTTGGGCTTCATGATTCTGAGCAAATGGCTTCTCTACAAGGGCCTCAGCAATTTCCAAGTGGTAAAACAGGCTTTGTTGTTGTTTGTTATATGCCATGGAGTCAGTTCCGACTCATAGTGACCCTGCACAGGGTCACTATGACCTGCACAGGGTTTCCGAGGCTGTTAATCTTTACAGGAGCAGAATGCCTCATCTTTCTCCTGCAGAGCAGCTGGTAGTTTCGAACTTCTCACCTTGAGGTACGCAGCCCGATTCGTAACCACTACGCTACCAGAGCTCCTTTGAACAGGCTTGGCAATCCCTATTTCAGAGGTTGTGGGAGGCTCTGGAAGGCATAAATATGCAGCAGGCACCTGGGAGGGAGGGCTCTCCACTCCTTCCACCGTGCATCTCTCCCTGGTCCACTACCCTATGCTGGCCTGCTTTCCTTCGGAGAAGAGGCCAATGTTACAATGAAGTGGCTGTCCCAGGGAACAGTCCAGGAACCAATCCCTACCACTGTGGAGGGAAGCTCAATTTGTTCTGAGTGCTTGGTCTCTGACCTTTGGACATCAGGGGCTTGAAAGGAGTGAACTTAAGGTGGCATTTGCACATTGTATGGGCCAACTATAACTGAGACTGGAGCCGAGAAATCCCCGTGAATCCATGACAGGTTAGCCTACAGTTTTCCCTGTGAATCTCTCTTAAGTTAGGAACACAGAAGCAAGAGAAGACCTTTCCCTGAATTGGCCAGCGGGCATTTCTGGAATTGAGGCCGATTTAGCCTTTCTTCCCAGCAGGAAGTGCAATGAAGCATTTAAAATCTCAAGCACTCCAGACCGAAAAACCCAAACAGCCTGGACACAGACTTCCGGAGAGGCTTGGCTGAGCTTTAGAAAATGATCCAGTTTTCTAAGCAATGTGTTTGATCATCACTTCAAACACCTTTAGGTATGCAATCCAGTACTGCATGCAGAGCCAGAGGGGAGCAGCCCTCAGCCCACTTACCTCCTGGCTGGTGGGGGCAGCAGCCGTGGCTGCAGGTGGTCCACAAAGAGGATTTCTTGAGCAAAATCAAAGTGGCAGTTGCCTGGTCCCTTCCGGATGAGGAAGCCCTCTGGGGGGGAGATGCATAAGCCGTCCAGAGTGACATGGATGATTTTGGCCTGCAGACACAAGAAAACCAGAAGAGAAGAACTGAAGCCAGCATTTGGGAGAGCAACAGTGCCCACGCTGTCATTTATAGCAGAGACCCCAACCTGGAGAAATGACTTGGTCTGGCTTTCCTCCCAGACCAGGATCACCTAGCCGGAAGCTACTTTCCAGGGTTGTCCCCTTTCCCTGCCAGCCACTGCAATGGGTACTGGGCAGACAGAGAGCATGAGAGAGATGGGTCTCCTGGCCCCAAGCAGTCACAGACAGACATTCTCTGCCCCCAGAGGCATGAGCCTGGGGCTATGGACACTTACAAGGGTGTGGACACCATTCTCAGTAGGCGTGCAGCCTCCCCTGCCTCAGTAACCACTTGACCCAAATGAAGTGCCCAGAGCAGCGCTCAGCTAGCATATACTTGCCCCATTCGCTTCCTCCTCTCAGCACTCAGTGGGTCCTCCCTCGGTGGTTTCTGGGTCTTCCTGGATGACAGAGGGCCCCACTGGACTATCTCCATTCCTGCACACAGTTGAGGCTTACCGAAAATTTGCTGAATGGATGTGGGTCGAGGCCAGAACACCAGGGTCCTCAGCCTATCTCAGAGCCTCATGGCAGGGTATGTGCTGTGCTCCCCGGAATGAGCGGGGGCGGTGGCAGGGGGGAGATGAGCCTGCACCCTCTCACTGACTGCAGGTTAGAATCAGGGTGCCATGATGCCTTAGCGCATCTTGATGGTCCAACCACTGACCACACTGGTGGAGTTCATCCTCACAGAGTGCAGGGGGTAGGGCCCTGCCCTGGGTGTCATTGGTAACTAAGGTACCCCTGGCACTCAGAAAGTCACCACTGCACCAGTCACCACAGCTTTTTGGGGTGTAAGTGAAGTAGAAAGGGAATCTAAGGTAACAATTGAGGTTGGCCCAGGATTGGGCAGTGTTTTGTTCTGCAGTGTTTTGTTCTGTTGTGTATAGGGTTGCTATGAGTTGGTACACCACCACCCCATGAGAAGTGTAGGGTAAACTGGCTTCAGGTATGGCTGGCTATGGGGACCTGAGGATGTCAGGAGGACCTGATCTCTGTCTCTCAACATCGCTCTCCTCTGCTTTCCTCCAACTGAGTCCAACCTGGGCCCCAGGACTGGACTTAAGACCTAGGTCAGCCAAACCAAGTCTGGAACCCAGCTGGCCATGTGATTGGTTCAAGGGTTGGTCATGTGATGATCCAGACTCAATCACAAAACTCTCGGGGTTTGTTGTCTCACTTCAAAAGAAGTTCACTCATTTGCTGGGGTTAGCGATAGCAAGGTGTTAAGCCCAGAGTTGTCAGGGAGAGTTCCCTGAAAGTGAACTCCATGAGGGAGTGAAGCCCTACCCATCCTCCAGAGCCACAACCTCCCCAGGAAGCACCCAGAGTTTTCAGAAGAGTTGACCCCAGTCCTCCCTTTGTTTAGATCTAGGAGGTGGCTTCTATTACAGTTAGGAAGTTAGGGTCAGTCTGAGGACACCTGAGAGGAGGTGGCCCAGGCCCTAGCTACTATGCACTCGTAACCAGGTGCCCTATATGGTCTTGGGAAGGTTGGCGTCTGCACCATTTTTCTGCAGTATGTCTATTGTCCCTCTCAGGCCACACAACCAGCTCCTGCCCCCCATCCACTGTGCACACCTGTTACCGGCATGTGTCTTGTGGGAGCCTCACCTGTGAAGCTGAGACTCTGGGCCACTCATTCCAGATGGTGAATGCAGGTGGTGGAAACTCAACCAGAAAGACCATGTTTCACTGAAGGGAATTTAAAGGCCCATCTTAAATGCCAATATATCTGAACTTTAAAAATGTGTTCCCTCCAAGTGCACTTACAAAGCCACAGGCAGCTTTGGGAGGCTTTGTGACCGGCAGGCTTGCATGTGGCCAGTTCATGTCAGTCACTAAGGCTGGGCCCCACCGAGGCTTCTGTGGCATGGTAGGTACCGGGGCCCTGGAAGTGGACTTGGGACCTGAGGCTCCACCAACCCCTAGGAGGCAGGGATCATAGTCCTGCTCAGTGCAAGTGGTGGTAGTTAAGTGCCATCAAGTCAGTCCTGAGTCAGAGCGGCCCTGTCTAGGATTTCAGAGGAGTGGGTGGTGGGTTTGAACCATAGACTCTGTAGTTAGCAGTCTAGTGTTGATCTTACAGGGCCCCACAGTGAACAGATGTGGGAAACCCAGTCGAAGGTCCCTCAGCTGGTCAGGGTCAGAGCTGAGACTCACACTCAGGGCCCTGGCTAGATTGCTGTGCGTTAGGGCCCTTGTACACCCCTTATTCAACAGAGAGAACAACGTTTGTTCATTCTAACTGCACGAGAGCTGGGAAGCCACAGGCAGGCCAGCTTCTGACCTCCACTTCGGTGTCCTAACAGTGACCCCTGTGCTTTTCCATCTAGCAGGAGAAGGAATTAGCAGGGTGGGCTTCGAGTCTGGCAGAGCTAGCTATGTGACCACCTTTCCTAGCCTCAATTGAATATCCTGAAAACTAGGAGTCGGGGTGGTGATAATAGTTGCTTCGTAGAGGCTGGGATGAGGGGCCAAAGAAATGATGAATGCTCCGGCCCTTAAAGAACACACGGCCATAATTTGTCCTTACAAGTTGGGGGCTGGGCCTGCTAGAAATGCTCCCCATCCCACACCCCCCAGAAGAAATGAAGCTCTGTAGTTTCTCCAGCCTGCCCTGGGTGTTCAACAGCAACATGCCCTCTGCCTGGTCCAATCCCCCAGCTCCATTTGGAAAGTTCTGGAGGATTTATGTTCCTCTTAGCAGCAATGCCAGCCATTTATCAAGACGCAGCTTCTCTGACAGTGGACGGAGCGGCCCCTGTTTCCCAGCTTACCCCTCGATAGGTGTCCTCGGGAGATTTATTGTAGTTCCAGAAGCGCAGGCCTGCAATACTCTGGGCTCGGTCGAACTGGATGGTGACCACGTGGTCCAGTCCCGGTGAGAAGGGGATCAGCCACATGTGCTCATCCTCCATCGTGATGTTAGCTCCATCGATTAACCTGCATACAACAGAGCAACAGCAAAGTAAGGAGACTCACCCGCAGCTGCCTGGTGGGGCGGGCTCACTAAGGGGCCACCCGTCTTCTGTGAAGTGGGAAACACGTCAGTCTGTGCTTCTGGTGGTGCACTGGTTAAAGTCAGCACTTGGAACCCACCGCTACTCCATGGGAGCGAGACGGGGCAGCCTGGTTCCACAAAGATGATTGGAACTGAGTTGATGGCAACAGATTTGGTTTGTTTTTGCTTTTTTTTATAATGCTCCTAAAAATGTTAAGCGAAGTGAAAAAAGGGAAAATGTGTCATTTGTCAGGATTCTTTAACCTAGTGATTCCATTTCTAGATTGTTTTTCTCCTAAGGAATATTTCCTCAACATGTAAAAACAGCTCTCAACACACAGATAATTAGCAGAGCTCTATTGATGATAATAATAAGAATAAACGTTGTTAAGTACCATGGAGTCAGTTCCAACTCATAGTGACCCTACACAGGGTTTCTGAGTCTGCAAATCTTTACGGGAGCAGAAAGCCTCATTGTTCTCCTGCGATACAGTTGGTAGTTTTGAACTGCCGACCTTGAGGTTAGCAGCCCGATTCGTAACCACTATGCTACCAAAGGTCCTTGATAATAAAAGGGAACAACCTAAATGGTCCTATGACAGAGGCAGGGTTAAGTCATAAGCACCAGGACGATGCAGTACCATGGTGTAGAACCTAGGTGGGATCAGTGGAACAGCAGCATCAGGACCTGCCTAAGATCCGTGAGGATAATGCCCACGGCTGATTGATTCCTATGAGGTGGCGGTAAGACACACCTCCACTCTCCAAACTTCTGGCCAATTCTCACACCAGCTGTCTCTCCCACAATACCCACACAGAACTCACAGACAACAAAGCTAAGTGGTTCACTACGGAACAGGAACTCAGGATCAGGATCAGAACACAGGTAAGCAAAAACTCCCTTCCTCAGTTCCCCTTTACCTGCAGGTCCCTCTCAGCTCCGGGGGGCTGACTCCTCTTGGTCCTACCACGTGTCACTGCTCTGCCTCTGGGCTCCTTCCAGACATGTTGTGTTATAGTCCTTGACTGGTGTTATAAATCTTTTAGGAGGTCTGCTTCTTCCTGCCTCTAAATATTTTCTTGGGGTTGACTGCATATATACACAACTCTTTGTAGATTTCAAGCCATGGCTCCTCCCAGAGGAGGGGCGGGGCATGAACTGATCAATTCCCACTTGCTAGGCCTGATACTATGGGTTAATGCCCTGGACTGCAAGGATGGTTTGAAGCTGAAGGTCGGTGGTTCAAGCTCACCAGCTGCTCCTTGGAAACCCCATACAGGATCGCTATGAGTAGGAATTGACTTGATTGCACTTAACAACAAGAAGTCAAAGATATTTGTACAGTAGGTGACAGCTCCCATTTACATACTCTATTGACCAATCCCTGCAAGGACAAGCAGCAGACCAGGCCAGAGAGAAAGTATCAAATCACAAATTGTTTATAATTTACTCAGGAAATGTCAATCAATTTGGGCAAAAGTAAAAATACTCAGAGGTACAAAACTATGGCAAAGGTAATCTCCTCAGGGTTTAGGGGGAAATCTCTCAAACTGTTTTTCCAAATAACCAAGACAGAAGACTTTAGAGACCCATCTCCCCACACACAGGAAGTTGGGCTGCGGGGGCAGGGGAAGTACTGGCTGTATGGGGAAATTGAACACAAGGGCCAAAACCAAAGGCACGTTTGTATTGGAAGGACGGGCAGATTAATGTTTTTCTCTATTTTCCAAACTTTCTGTAAAATTGTTCAACTGACTTTATGATTCTATTTGACAGAACTGTATCCCTTCTTTCTCAGGATGGGGAGATCCTAAAGTAGCAGGTGAATTTGGCAGGTCCTGGCTTGTGCTAAATACACAAAGGGGCCAGTGCCTCTGTGGGGAACTGGTCTGGCCTGGGTGCCCCATAGCAACCTTTAGCAGTCCTGTGTCCTTCCGGGCCACTGTTCTGAACTTGTCAGCTGGCCCAAATTTCACTCCCTTCCCAGTTTCTGGCTCCCCTTGCTTCAGACATCCATCCCCTTCAGCTCGGCTCATGTTTGTTCCAAAGGCCATGCTGCTTCTGAGTGCCTTCATCTGCCCAGAAAGCGTACGCCAAGACCCCAGGTCCTTATTCTGGCTTGGGTCCACATGCCTGGTTCCAGAGACAGGGGCTCAGCTGTCAGTCTCATGAGCAGCTCCCAACTCTGTCTCCTGTTTTTGTGAGTCTCCCTGATTCCACACTCCTGGATTTCTGAGAAATACTGTCAAACTGAGATAAACTCAAACCGCTGTCACATTCCCTAGATTTAAAAAAGAAATCTTTAAAAAAATATATATTTACATTTTAAAGTTTTAGATTTGGAATACGTCTTGAAATCTAAGAGTTAATCCAAAGAGGTAGGTTTTTTTTTTCCCTCCAAAAAGCTGTTATTAAATTGATGGATGGTGTGTCTTACAAGTGATGGCAATTTTTAAACTGAGGAAATTCACCAATGCAACACTGAGTGTTGATGGAACAGAGCTGACTGAGGATTACCACCAGAGAACTGTCTATTTTCCTTCCAACAGTAATAATCTCTCTGCCCTAGAAACGGGGCCACCTGCACAGGAAAATGGTTGTCCAATTATGAAAATAGAGAAAATTACTGAAGCATTTGCAGCTGACAGTGAAGGGAAGTCTCTCGAGCTACTTCCCACCTCAATCCATGGAAAAGCCTAGAAACAATGACCAACCCTGGTAGCAACGGACATCCCTAGTGGCTAGATTATGGTTTCTAAATACCATTTCCCTAAAAGGAACCAGGGCTTTATGTTAAAAATGGCAGATTCCCTGTGTGAGCCAAGAAACATACAAGATGAGCCTGGGACGCCACCTTGTCACATCAGAAAACAAGAAAACTGTCAGATACACCTATTTTCAAAAGATTTAGGAGTCCACATGGCTAAACATCCAGTATCCAAGAAGGGGTAATTTGAACATTGCTAATGATAACAACAACAGTATATTGAAACCCAACAAGGACAGCATGTTTAAATCCAAGAATTTAAAATGATATTCACAAACAAACAAACACTTTAGAGGATGCCGGAGAAGCAAGAGGATGCCGGAGAAGCAATTTGTTATTGTGAAAACCGACAAATAAAGGAGAAGAATCACAAGTCTAACTTGCCTTTCCTGTTTGAATTATACCTCACGGTAGTCAAAGAATTGAGGGAAATTTTCTCTTTACTGAAGGTCTTTCAGCAAATAAATGAAAAAGAAACAGTAGGACTAGACTATCACCATTTTACAACTTCTAGTAAGTTAATGGAGTCCTGGTGTGGCACTGTGGGTTAATGCGCTGGACTGCAAAGTCGGTTTGTACTGCAAGTTCGATGGTTCAAGCTCACTAGCTGCTCCTTGGAAACCCTATACAGGGTCACTATGAGTCGGAACCGACTCGATGGCCTTTAACAACAACAGTAGTGAGTTAATGGAACCTGGTGTGGTGCTGTAGGATGAAGCACTGGACCACAAAGTCTATTTGAACTTCAAGGTTGGCGGTTCAAACTCACCAGCCACTCCTCAGAAACCCCACACAGGGTTGTTATGAGTAAGAATTGACTCAACAGCACTTACCAACGACAACAGGGATTTAGTGGACGTAGGTACTGGGCACCAATGGCCATCAGTGTTGATTGACTACTAGCTGTGATGTGATGGCAACACACAGAACAGTCATCACGTCATTTAGCTGCATAAGTCAAAGAATCCTCAGTCTGATCAGGCCTTAAGCCTGAATAAACCATTTACAGAAAAGGTTGGGGACCAAGGAACAGGTTAAACAATGGGGCTGCAACCAGCAAAGTCTAGACTCTACAGGGCTAAAAGCCTAGTTACTTTTGTAACAGAAAAATTTATCAAAAAAAACAACAAACTGAAATAAGATAGAAAGGTAAAAACGGATCACAGCATGTGTGGATCTCAGTTCAAGCTCACAAACTGTTAAAAAAAACAGCAAAAAAAAAAAAAAAGAAATATGAACATTGACTAGATATCTGACAATTTCAGGAATCGCTGTTAATTTTGTTAAGGCATAATAATGGTACTGAGATTATGTCATCTTTTCAAAGTCCTTATTGTTTAGAGATAGCTACTAAAACATTCAGAAGCTCTGGTAGCATAGTGGTTCCACGTTGGACTACTCACCTCAAGATCAGCAGTTCAAAACTACCAGTCATTCCATGGGAAAAAGATGAGGCTTTCTGCTCCCGTAAAGATTTACAGTCTCAGAAACCCTATGCAGGGTCGCTATGAGTTGGCACTGACTCCACGACACACCACCACATCACCACACCACCACTAAAACATTTAGAGTTGAAATACTATTGGGTCTGGGATTTGCTTCAAACTATCTGGGGTCTTTTTCCACAGCTGTTGAGTCAATTCTTATTCTTAATGACCTGTGGGTCAGAGTAGAACTGTGCCCACAGGGTTTCCGAGGCAGCACCTCTTTATTGAAGCACACTGCCACATCTTTATCCTACAGAGCAATTGGTGGGTTGGAACTAACAACCTTTCAGTTCGCAGCTGAGTGCTTACCTGCTGCACCACATGTCCTATTGATCTGGGGCAGAGGGACTCTGAGTGGACGGGATGAAGACAAGGAGCTTGGACCCTGACTGCTCACTTTGCAGCTGCAGGCTGTATAGAAACTCCTTCTGCTAGGATCCGGAGGTCAGAGTGGCCTGTGGACAGGCGGTGGCAGTAGGGGGTGAGGGCCATGGTGAAGGGAACGGATCACTGACCCCAGGGACAACCTGGGCCAGGCCAGGAGACACAGTTGCAGTATGACAATCCCTGGCCTTCCTCCAGTCACAGGAATTGTCCCATTCTACTAATAAGGAGGGACCAGTCGCTGGACAAGGATATCATGTTTGGTAAGCTGGAGGGCCAGAGAAAAATCCCCAACAAGATGGATTCGCAAAGTGGCAGCATAGTGGGCTCAAGCGTGGCAATAATTGTGAAGCTGGCCCAGGACAGGGCAGTGTTTCATCCTGTTGTACATAGGGTCACTATGAATCGGCACCAACTCGATGGCACCTAACAACAACTGATAGGGAAACTGAGGCGGGGGAGACATTACAACTTTAGGGTTAAGTGCATAAATCCCACAGACCCACATTCAAATCAAGACTCGACTTAAACCAGTTTGAGCAACCTTCAGCCAGCTCTTAACCTTTCTAAACATCAGTTTCCTCATATGTAAAATGGGAAAAATTTTAGATGGATGAATACCTGTACCCTGCTTAGCAGAGTCCAGAGCTTGTCATTGAATAAATCCTTTAATAATGGCATCTATAATATTGCTGTTGTATCCCTTTCATTGTTATTATTCTTGGAGAGGTTAAAAAACATATTTAGGGAGTCTGCAAGGAGCAGAGCTAGGATCTGAGGCCCCTGAGCCCCGAGACTTGGACTCGTGTTCACACCTGCAGGTAGAGCCTCGTTCCCATGGCTGTCCTGAGAGCGGGCTGAACACAGGTCTGCCTGTTACAGAGTCCCTGAGATCAATGGATGCTCCAGCAGAGACTTGACCCAGCCTGGGGTTATGACATCTGGCAGGTACACAGGGCAGTGCAGCGTGGCTGCCTTTGGAGCTTTGCTCAGCAAACACCTCCAGCCTCCAGAGGAAGTGAGACAGCTCTCCTCCCCAAGAGGCTGTAGCAGGAGGCTCTCATGCCCAGCCACCCATGGCGAGGGCTACCAGAGTGGCTACTGGGTGCTCAGCTAGTTCCCATGGAGAACACAGATATTATTGTGTCTGGAAGGGTGAAAACCTGTTTTGAGTCCTGCTGGCCCCTTCTAGCTGGGTGGTCCTGGGAAGGCTATTTCCCAGTCAAATGGGAAGACCTCAGACCTCACAAATGGCTGTGAGGAGGAGACACCTGTGTCTGAGGCCAAGGTGGACAACAGGGTCCCCAAGCCCTGGCTGATAAGAGAGTGAAGCTGCTGGTAGACACTTACTTATCCAGGGTCCTGGAGTCATCATTGTACTCGGGAAGGTCATTCAGGTCTCTGGGCGAGGCAGAGATCTGGTGCAGGCTGATAGGCAGTGCCTGGCCATCTTTGCCCACCACCTCCAGGCCTGTGAGCCCCACGTAGTGCAGGTCTCCCCAGGAGGCAGTGAGATTCAACTGAAGACCTGCAACAGGAAGCAGAGTAGACCATGAGCACTAGAGGCTCCAGCTATTGGAAAGGGACATTTTATTGTGTGAACTGACCAACATCATGAGGATTCACATGGTTTCAGGATGGTGACATCTCCATCTTTCAGCCCCTGTCTCATCCCTGCTCCATCAGAGACTATTTAGAATGGCCTTCCATGTTCCTGAGCCAAGACAACCCAAGTGAGCCATCCATTTGCCTAGAGAGCTCATAACAAATGCATCCCTTGGCCGAGCCCCCTGTCAGATGTCTGGCTAGAACTTCTCTTTCCTTAAGCATCTCCTCATTTGAGCAGGACCATATCAAAGGAACCCCTCAGCTTTGAGGGCATGGATAGGCTATTTTAACCATGTAGTATTTTGGGTGACTGAGCTAAGAAGATCCAAAATCTACGACTCTCACAGACTCTTACAGGTAGAGCTGGAGGAACAGATCCTAGATGTAGCCCCACCGCATTTCAGTTCAGATGAAGAACCAGAATCACAGAGAGGCTAAAGGGTATCCTTGTGGCTAGAAAGTGAGGCCAGGCCACTTAACTTCCCTAGAGCGTGGCTTTCTCTCTGGTGCCACTGTCATTTTCCAAGATAATTTTTGTAATCCAAAGTCCCTACTGTCCAAGGTGCATTGTGGGAGAAAGTGAAAAAGACATGTACCAAGTCCCTCCTATCTTTCTGCAGCGAAATCCTTGGTGGTGGTGATGGTGGTGTGCCGTGGAGTCGGTTCCGACCCAAGGAGACCCTGTATAGACTTTCTAAGACTATAAATCTTTATGGGAGCAGAAAGCCTCATATTTCTCCTGCACAGCACCTGGTAGATTTGAACTGCTGACCTTTCAGTTAGTAACCCAGCTCATATGCCCCTCTGTCCTCTTCCCTTTGATGTGTGACTTTTCCATTTCTCCCACCAGACATGGAGCCTTTCTCTACTCCTTGAATCTGGATCATGGGATTTTCTGTGGCCAACAACCTAGCAGAAAATATGGTGTGAGGAGAGACTTGTAAAAGCTCTTGTCAACTGGGGCACGTCCTCTCTCTACTCTTGGACCCTTGAGACCACCATGTGAAGAGAAGGCTGGCCTGTGCCCCTGTCACTTGGCCATGTGGGCGAGGCCACCCTAGACCATTCAGCTGCCAGTCCACCTGCCACCTGACTGCAGACACATGAGCATGCCCAGTACAGCCCACTCAAGACAGTGCAACCAATGCACTGAATGGTCAGCTACGTAAATGAGGGTTGATTTGTTCAGCAGCAAATGCTGACTAATATACTATTTCTGCCATGAGTCTGTTAAATATCCTCTACTTCTCTGCACTCCCTACACATTGTCCTTGCTCCATTTTTTGTTCACAGCACTACTGATGTTAAATGCTATTGAGTCGGTTCCAACTCATGGTGATCCTGTTTCCAAGGAGTGGCTGGTGGGTTTGAACCGCCGACTTTGTAGTTCAAACAGACTTTGAAGTCCAGCACATTAAGCCACAACGCAACACCAGGGCCTGACAATTAGGTGTGCAATATAGGTTGTTTTTAAAATATAAATGAATGAATGATTGAAGAGTAGGTAGACAACAGATATCCACAAGAGACTGAACCAAAATAAGGCCACTGGAGTTCACCAAATCCACAGTCAATGGCATATACACATTTGCTGAGCATCTACTATGTGCCAAGTTCCACTTTGTTTACGGGAGTAAACAAGACAGCAAAATGATAGACCCAAGGGGCTTTCATCCCAGCAAAAACAGGCACTATGAGGGGGCTTCAAAAAGTCTGTGGAAAAATGGAATTGAAAAATATGGGATTTTTTTCCCCAGAGTTTTGAAGCGCCTTCCTATGCATAGTGACAGTTCCACAGACATGTAGAATACTGTGACAAAGAAAGCAGGAATGAGAGTGACTGAGTAGGGGTGGAGTGAAGAGGGAAGGCCTCTTTGAGACGGTAACATCTGAGCTGACACTTGGCCACCATGAATTTGCGTTTCTAGAAGAAGAATATTTTATGCTAAGAGACTAGCAAGGGCAAACAAAGCCCTGAGATGGTTACAAATTTGACCTGTGTCTGGGACCAAGTGACTGAGGAAGAAGATGGAGGGAAACGCAATCAGAAAGTTGGGCCACTTTTCTTCTCTGCCACGGGAAACTTCTGGAGGGCTACATGTTCAGCACTGCAATGATGGGGTCTCCAGTGTGTGGCTGCAGGGCGGTCTGAGGGTGAACTCAGTAGGTAAGACTGAGGAGGCAGCTGAAGCAGGAGGCTTGGACAAGGATGGTGTGATGAAAATGGGAGGAGGGGAGAGATGCAGGCTGAGTTTTGGAAGCAATGCTATCAGGACCTCTCAGTGGCCTGGGGATGGAAGTGAGGGAAAGAGAAGAGGTTGTTGGCCCAAGTACAGAGCAGCTGGGTACAGTTTCCTGAGGTGGAAGAAGCCTGGGTTTGGATGAGAGTGATCAGAGCAGAGGGAAAAAGACGATTTGCCCTCAGGAAACCAAACAAGATGGCGCTGTGAGTCTGACGCCCCCTGCTGGCTGACCAGACCTTGTGCTTCACGTCTCATCTGGGGCTACTCTGAAAGTGACTGCTGCTCTCCTTTTTTGAGCTAATATCTGTGTTCCATATTCGTTTTTCTCTAGTGTATCAATTAGTATTTATACAAATGGAAATTAATTTTGTTATTTTTCTTCCATGCTTCAAGCCTCTCTGCTCCTTTTCTATTCACCACTGTGGATATTTGCAAAACTTCCAAAATTAGTGTCATCTTCAAATTAGTAAGTCTTAGATCCCCTTTCAAAACAGTAATAGAATTGGCCATGTGTACCAACCCCGACGCATCCCCTCCAGGGTCACTTTATAAAAGTCCTCTCCATCTGCACAGGCTACTGAGGCGGGTGGAGGATTGTGAAGAGAAAAAGCCCAGGGTTCAGAGAAGAGTTTCAGAAACCAGGGGCCTGGAAACAAGTACTGAAGCGAGGAGAGAAGGCACACTTCATTTCTCCAAAAAGGTCCCGGAGCTTGACTCCAGGGCAAAATTCACCAAGAAACTGAGACAACATTTCTGAGAAAGGTACAGAGCAGTACCTTTGGGAAGGCGTGTCCACTGGGACCCCGTCCATGCCTTTCTGGCCTTTCTGTGTGGTGGCACTCCATACTCAGTGCACACTGCTGGGGGGAGGGGGGGGCTGGGATGTTTGCCATCTCCCAGCTGCCTCCCTCCCTTGCCACAGTGAGCCACAAGAATTGGTTCAAACACTGGCTGTACCCCTGGCTAGACCAAGGAGATGTAACTGGCCAACTGCTGGGCCGGCCAGTTGGGAAATGAAGCTCTCTTTTATGTGGGGGTACTGGGTGCAAGGTAGATAAACCCGGGGCCTCCAGGAGCTCCCTCCTGGACAGAACCTGGGTGGGAGAAAGGCACACGAGGAAGACAGAGACAGAGAGGCACCTTGGCACACCTGCAAACAGCCATTCTGGAACCTGGCAGCCCTGACCTTTGGAGTGCTTAACCGACACAGTCCTGTTTTGCACTTAGACTCAGTTTGAGTTCCATTTCCATTGCTTCAAAAAAAGCAATCTTGACTAATGTAAGGGAAACCATGGCTGTCTTCATGGGAGCCTAGTGGAGGACCAAGGTGATTATCTGTGTATGCTTAGTTTTGTTTCTTTGTACTGTTGTATGTTGTTGTTGTGAAGTGCCGTAGAGTCGGTCCCGACCCATAGCAACCCTGTATTGGGTTTCTGAGGAGCAGTTGCTGAACCACCGACTGTGCAGTTCAAACGGCTTTGCAGTCTGGCGCATTAACCCACAGCGCCACATCAGGACTCATCCTCTTGTAATGAGACCCTCAAGCACAGCTCCAAGGCAGAGTCATGAAGACAGGGGCTCTGCAATTCTTGGTACAAGCTAGGTGGCCTCTACTAGAAACCAGGGCTAATAAGAACTGCCTCATGAGGTGATGATGGGTGCTGGATGAAGTAAGGCAGGGAAGGCACCGGATTAGAGCCTGAACAGCAGATGATTCCAAGCTGCCAGCCAGGCTCCTGCCTAGCATTAGGCTGGTTTTAAGTTACTGTGTTGTTCTAAAGTAAGGGAGAGAGGATTTCTTTTCTAAGAGATCATTTCTTCCTTTGAAGTGGGTGAGGGAGAGAGGACTTTTCTTAGGGACAAGGGGAAGACTTGCTGGGGAGAACTGGGATGGCAGTTCCTAAAGGAAGGGACATGAAGGGCACTGAGGGGTCCTGTCCAGATCCCACCGCCCCTTCTAGGCCTGAGGACTCATTCTTCCAGGGCAGGGCATGGATAATGGCTCACCACTGCATTCCACCTGAGGGTACTCAGGCTAAAGAGAGTGTCCTTGCAAAATGGCCGTGAGCACTCTCCCAAGGGGCTAGCCCCTCACTCCACTCAGGCCAACTGCAAAGGTCCACTTCACTTCAGAGCTGCCTATGGAGCCAGCTGAGGCCCAGACAGAACTGCACAGCAGACAGTGTGAGCCCACCAGCACTCCCAGCAAGCTCCCTGCACACTAGTCCCCATCTAAGTCTGTGACACAGGGACCCATCCGGTCCAAGGGAGTCTTCTGAAGCAGATGGAGAGGGAGGCAAAGCCGATACAAAGACCACAAGTATGTGGGGAGGAGGGTAGCAAGAGCTCTTCCTGAGAATGTGAGATAGGGAGTGTGACAAAGTCATGTCTGTGTGTGAGCGACATGTGCAGGGAGGAAATAGAAAAGGGAGGTGATGTGACAAGGTGACAGAACCTGGTTAGCAGGGAACGGTGAGCAGAGCAGATAAGAGTCACTATGGCCTTGAGCCTGAGAGTCCCCAGGACGCTGGAGTGCTGACACTGCCCGTGGGGGGGAAGTGGAAAAGAAGAGGGAGGAACAGACACAGCTGACCCCCAGGTGAGACTCACTCAGAGGCCGCAAACTGGCAGCCCGCTGGCCAAATACACAATATGGGTTTGTTTGGCTCATGTGGTGTTTCAATATTAGAAAACTGATCACCATTTAAAATTTGAGATTTTACATCAAAATTGGGTTTCTGACTTCTGAGAAACTGGAGGCCCCCACCACAGCAGGGGGAGGTGGGCTTTGTATTCCCGCCTGCTCTATGATGTGGTTGGCCCTTCTGGTCTTCTGTCCTCTAGCTCTGTGCCCTAGGTTCCAACTGCAGCCTCCTAGTTCAGGGCCACAGTCAGAACACAAGGCATCTGCATGAGAAAGGCAAAATTGTTCCCCTGAAGGGCACATCTCAAAGAGGGGCACTCTTCTGAAGGAAAGAAGGTCGCCAGGGCCATCCAGCTGCACTTACCTGCCCACAGGAAGCCCTGTTGCCAGCAGCCACACTCTCTCCCCCTGCCTTCCCCCACCACCCCAGGTTTCTGTTGCCACTGCCCTGGTGAAGATACTCACAGAGCCCATGGTAAATGCCCGGCTCTGGCGTGGTGACTTCAGGGACAGGAGGGCTGGGTGATAGCTCTGGTTCCAGGACCTGCATACCAGTTGAGGGAGAAGCAAAGGAAAGGGTGATTTTAATGATCCCCACTTTGCTGGTTGCCCACCCCCTGCCTCAGAGGTAAAGCCCTGTCTCTTTTCTTAAATTTCCTGCCTTCATGGCAGCTACATGACTAGACATATCAACAGGCCCAGAAGCCCTGGTTTGAATCCTTGCCAGTAATTCTTACTGGTAGGGGAGGAGCTTGAAGTTTAGATTTTCTTGCACAAGGAAAAATCTAATAAATACTGATGCAGTGGGTAACAAAGAAAACAAGGAGTGAGGAAGAAACAGAGGATTCAAACGATAAAGATGGTGGTTCTCAACCTGGCTGTTCACAGAATCAGAATCTCCAGGGGTAAGGTCTGGGTGGCTGCATTTTTAAAGCTCCCTAGTGGAGTCCTAAGGAGCTCTGGTAGCGTTGTTGTTGTTGTTGTTGTTGTTATATGCCGTGGAGTGGGTTCCAACTCAGAGCGACACTGGACAGGGTTTCCGAGGCTGTAAATCTTTTCAGGAGCAGAAAGCCTCATCTTTCTCCCGCAGAACAGCTGGTAGTTTCGAACTGCTGACCTTGTGGCTCACAGCCCGATTCGTAACCACTACGCTACCAGAGCTCCTTTGGTTACAAATTGGGCTGCTAACCTCAAGGTTGGCAGTTCGAAACTATCAGCTGTTCTGCAGGAGAAAATGAGGCTTTCTGCTCCCGTAAAGATTTGAAGCCTCGGAAACCCTGTGCAGGGGCACTATGAGTTAGAACTGACTGCACGGTACTTAACAACAACAACAACAACAGTGGAGTCCTGGTGTGGTGCTGCAGAATAATGCGCTGGATCGCAAGGTTGGCAGTTCAAACCCATCAGTCACTTCTCGGAAACCCTACACCAGGTAGTTATGGGTTGGAACCGACTTAATGGCACTTAACAACCACAACAACATCTACAGATGGTCAAAAGTGGGCAGCCACATCCTATTCTTTGGGAAGGAGAAAGGATCTCATATGTAACTTTTGTCTGTCCCCACACCATAAGGGAAAATGGCACCTTTTCCATTTTACACATAGGAAAGTGCACTCCCTCTATTTTATACACAGGAAAGTTGAGATGCAAAAAGTGAAGTCCCTTGTCCAGATTATAGTTTTAGTTCCACGGACAACCTGATGGGTCCCACAGCCAGCCCTCCAGGGCAGCCTCTGCAGGCCTGCTCTGTGGTGGGAAGGAGGAGTCTGCCAGCGCACACCTGTCGTCTGAGTAGTCCCCAGCTACTCCGTGGTGGTTCTTGTAAGTAAACATTTATTTGTTGTAACTGTCATTATAAAATGGAGAATGGATTCCTGGTGTGATGCTGTAGGATCCGCACTGGACAGCGAATCACAAGGCTGGCAGTTCAAACCCACCAACCGCTTCCTCAGAACCAACTCAATGGCACTTAACAACAACAAAGGAGGGTTGGGACCTTCTGGGACTCCGGCTCACTACATGAACAAACAGTATGGTCTCTGTTGTACATGTGTTTCTCTGTCTGGCATAAACTCACTGGAGACACTTTGGAAATTCAGTGACCACTTTGTGGTTCTTTTGATCTAAGTTCATTTTTTGTGTGCAGTAAATTAGAGAAACAAGGATCCTGGATTAATCAGTCCAGTGGGATGCCTACTTGGACTGGAATATTGAAGCCTCTTAGGAACAACACGACAGTAAAATTACATCCCTGCAAGACGCAGTCTCTAAATTAACTAAACAGAATAAAGTATTAGTGTTCATTTCAGTTCCACCTCCTTCTGTGCCCTTGACAGCTACTATGGTTTATACTTTGCCTTCCTACTCCTCTGAGAACTTCCCTTTCCCCTAAAAAAAAAAAAAAAAAAAAAACTAGAACGAATAGAAATCTAAGCTGTAGGCAAGTAATA